GCTTCTCAGTCGCTAAAGAAAACGGTTGTGGAACGGTACTGTTCCTTGTTTTGTTACTCCCCCGACCTGATTTTGAAGCATGCTTTGCAGGTAAACTTGACTTAGTGACATCCTTGGACTCAAAATCATCTCTTATCGGCTTACCAGCAGGGATCTCACTAGTACACTCTTTAACATCATATTCATTTACTTCGATGGTCTCTTCTCCATATCGAAGCTCTGTATGTACATTAGCATCATTGCGTGATACAGAATCTAAGAGAGGCTCAGAAACATTTTCTTGATTTGGATTACACGAATCACCGTTCGCATAGACCACCACACCATCTGGCTCCTTGTCCATACAGATATCTGTCACAACAAAAATCACCAAAGTAAAAAAGAAAGTCTAATATTGATCATAATACACAAAATCTATGTGAAATCAAGACAAACTTACTTTGCAAGCGAGTTTACGACACAATTCAATATAATGATATATTTGGTATACTCAACAAGAGAAACTATACTATACCTCCTTATAATCACAGACAAGAAAACTCAACCATATTAGTATAATATCAAAAGTATACTTAGTTACAAATGATGACCAAGAATTCAACTAACCATCTAAATTATTATCTTAAAAGCATTAGGCTAACCAAATGTAGGGACATCAAAGACAAAAACAGCTTGTTTAAAGGAAAATAATATAGTATTCTAAGCATAATCAAACGTTACAAATATAATAATAATCAACTATCAATTTCTCCAGAAAGATAAATAAAACTGTACACACGACCAAATCTTTTTGCATTAGACAAAAACCAAAAGTAAAATCTTTTTTGCATAGTCAAGAATCAACGAAGAAAAGACACTTTGTTTAACGCATATATCATCATGGCTTTGGACCAACATAAAACTTTAAGACCTTCTTTGTTAATATTTTCCTTAATATACACTATTAAACTTTGATTAAGCAAAACAAAGAACATGATAAACAAATTTAACAATAAGAAACTTAAATTTTAGTTGTTCAACAACATATGCTTCTTGCATTTAAACAAAAATGAACATGCAGCTCAATATATCTCACCTACTATGAACTACGAACTATGATCATCAATCGCAATCAACAAGACGTTGAAATCTCAAACAAGTTTTCGAAGAAGCAAAAAGGTGATCAAACATAGAGGATATCGAAGTAGAAGATTAGAATTTGCTTACCCATTTTTCTTGTGACAGACGAGAGAAGTAACCGCTCCTTTTCTTTTTTTTGGTCTCTCTCTCTTCTGTGTGTTGTGTTGTGTTGTGTTGTAATGAGAATGATGATACTATTGTCATTTATGTTGGTGTGTGTGTTTTATACCATCTCCTTCCTCGTCGGTGCTAACGCCGTTACTTGACACCGTCTCTTATTAGTGCTCCACTAATAAACATTTGTTACTGGATAATAATTTTTGGGAAAAATGTCGTTAAAATCCCCAACTTATTCAAAACGTTGATTTAAATCCTCAATTCACGACGAAACGAAATAAATATCAAACTTATGTTGACTTTCCAAATAAATATTAAACTTATGTTGACTTTCCAAATAAACACCAAACTTTCATTGACTTGGCCATATTAAGCATGACGTTAAGTGAGTTAACAGACAATGTTAACGGGATTAATTCTCTGTTAACAGACCCGCTAATTAAAAATGACAGTATTGTTGAACTATAATCAAATCTCATCTAAGTCATATAACCTAAATTCGTATTCATATAAATTAGTTATTTACGTAAGAGTCACGAATGTACGTACGTATAATTGTGTCTGTTCGTAAAGTTGTGTCTTTTCGATTAACACATGTACGTACACGTTGTTTTGTGTTGTATAAGTAGATCGAGTCAAACTCAATAACATCATTGTGTGTGATACATTTTATCTTATCAATAAAGATCAAGTTTCTTCATACTCTATTTTTCATTTTGGTTTTGTTCTTCATACTCTGTTAAAACAGAGTTCGTTTGTTGATCAAAACACTAACAAGTATTCCTTCTAAACATAAAACGACGTTGTTTTGTCGTAACTGTTCAATAAAATCCCGAGTTTCAAATCATACTCTATTTAGGGTTAGGGATTTTGCTCGATTTGGGGATCTAAGATTGTCTTTAGGGATTTAATTCAATCGTTACGACAAAACGACGTCGTTTTGTTGTTATATGAAACAATATCGTTATCAATTAACATATATGTTAACAGAAAATTACCTCCGTTAACGAGATCTATTAACCCACTTAACGTCATACCTAATATGGCCAGGTCAACGGAAGTTTGATATTTATTTGGAAAGTCAACATAAGTTTGATATTTATTTCGTTTTGTCATGAGTTGAGGATTTATTAACCCACTTAACGTCGTACCTAATATGGTCAGATCAACGGAAGTTTGATATTTATTTGGAAAGTCAATGAAAATATCAATTATATGTTGGGTTGGTTAATAAAACAAGAAATAGCATACTTGTTGTTGTCTTCCAATGATTGTTCAACTATTTTGATTAGCAAACTCCTTTTTTTGTTCCAAAAACATATCAGTTATTTTTGATTAGTTATTTTTTAATTTTTTCGATGACTATTTTCTTTTACAATCGAGAGATCACGAACGAAAGATTACACCAATTTCCGAAATATATGAAATTTGGATATTTATATATTAACTGCTCTTATTATTTAAAAAATGGTCAACAATTAATGAAATTGTAAAAAAAAAAAACGTATCTTGATCTCCCAACTTTGGCGTAAATATTTCTATCACTAATTCATTTTTTTTTCCCAATTCTATCACTAATTCATCATAATTTGGTTTTCTATTTATTAAATCAAACCCTAAAATATTTGTATTCAATGCATAATATATATTTCTTATTTTGAGAATAAAAATGCATAAATATTAAACAAATCTTTTTTTTACATTAATACATGCATACATATACTCTAATTTAAACTTATCTTTTGCTCGTAAACAAATCTTTTAAGATGAAAGTAGCGTCACTAGACTACTTAAATCATTTGAATTTTGAGAGGTAAAATGTGTACTTTGTAAAAATTGATTTATAATCTCTTAAGTCTTCACCAACATCAGGATAACAAACTCACTAAACTACAAATTGGTTTCTAATCGTAATATTTTAATAGCTTTCAGGCTAGTGTGGGGCAAGTTTTTTCCGGCAATTATGCAAAACTTCTTTATATATATGTTTATGTGTGAACTGTGAACTATATTGAATATAATCAGACAATCATTATGATAGCACAAGGGGACAAGATATCAAACTATTATTTCCAAACTCCAAACTTAAATTTGGCTACACCTATAGTATCTTTGTGCAAGTAGTCAAAATACATCTGTTATATTTTGTTTATGTACACAAAAAATATATTAAAATTTACAATCTACCGTCTACAATCATTACCAAAAAAAAAAAAAAGAATTACAACAGTTCAACAATCATCAGTTAACCAAACAATAAACTAAAAACATTTCAACATAAATGATTTTTATTGGTTTAGAAACGTGATTTCGTGGACTTAGCAAGGAATCAATGAATTAAACAAATATCAAAAATAAAGTGATAATAGAAAAGACATAACATCCTTATTGGCATCCAATCTTATTTATTGCTCATTGATTTTGATTATCCCACACCTAAACTCTTATTGAAATATACTTTGCACCATCCTTGTTTAATATCTCTTATGTTACATATTCCTGATATGCCCTTGTTATAAGTAAGGGTCAAAATCGAATCAGTGATAGGTTCAAGGTTAAAATAGAGAAATTTGGAGAAGAAGACGTGGGATGATTGAGCTGTGTGTGATAGATTAGAGACTATGCGGTGAGTGGAGTAAAAGAAAGACTATCCAACAAATAAGTGGGTCGGTCCCATTTGTCTATAGCCAAACCATAATAATAATTCTCCAAAGATGGTTACAGAAAAACAATAATAATTTCACAAATATATGATATTATTTTATATTTTGGGAGATGTATATAGACATTGTAGTTAGCTTAAGTGAATTAACAAATAGGGTTTGACGTTTTTTAATATTTGTTTTTGTAGAATTGATATTTCTTTCATCCGTGTGTTAAAAATGATCACAACAGCGAATCTTTTAACAAATTTCCGAGCACAAATGAAACATGATTTTCTTGCAAAATATTCTACAAACCAAAATCATCTGCAAGTCTTTAGCGACTATAACAAAGACATTTGTCAATTAAGATTTTGTGACATCATTAATAATAATACGTAGTAGAAACCTAAATACAACATGCCTATAATAACGCAATGTTTACATAAATTTGATAAATATATTTTAAAAAGCTTCAACGTTCTATGTTTTTTGGTTAAAAATCTCTAGGATCAATGTGTAGTCTATGCAATATAGACATCGAGTTTTAAGTTTTTTTTTTTTTGTAAGTTTCTAAAAACTTTCGTAAATTTTCTATAACACATTATAATTCAGAACCATTCTTGGATGATAAACTGCGAATATTAAAACTATTTTTATCCAATTTTTTAGTAAACTATTTTGTTTATAGATAAATAAAAAGTGCTTCACCTACTTAAATAACAAAAGAGATTATTAAAAACGAAAGTGCTATCTCACTAATTTTTCTTATTTTAACAGCATAAAACATTACACTTTAAAGAGGATATAATTTTTTTTCTGATGATAAAAGAGAGGATATGAGGATGTTAGGAAAGGGACATATTTATAAAATACAAAAATTTGCAAAACTAATTCTAATATTCTTCAATTTGATGATGTTTTTGTTTACCATGGTTAAAAGTAAACGATACAAGTACTGATTGAAAACAGTAATTAATTAATTAATCATTACTTATTGTCGTTATGTAATGGGAGTTTATTAGTAAATTTTACTGGGATGTTTCATATCAAAAAATTTACCGGAATGTAAAAACTTAAAAAGTGTAAAAGTTTTAACACCGAAGCTGACTCAGCATCCACGTAAGCAAAACAAATTTCACATTATGATCGGAGTTGACTCAAAATCTTCGTCGGCGACTTTGATTTGAAAACAATGGTTGAATCGGAGAAAACGAAACACACATGTCTCCGTCTCGAAATCTCCGGCGCCGATCCAATTTTCGTCAAAGGAACTTGGCATAACTCTCATTTCGATATCTCCGTCACCGATGGCTCCTCCTCTTGGATTTGCAATGGTAAACAAAACCCCTAAATTCAAACTACGCTAAGCCTCTAGGGTTTTTCGAATTTGAAATTATTTTGGTTTTGATCGAAATTGAAGCGACGGAGGAGGAAGTGGCGGAGAGAGCAGCACAATGGGATCAGCCAGTATCGGAGTATTTAGAGCTCGCTGAACGTTACTTAGGGTTTCAACAGCCAAATTCGGTCTATGGATTCTCTGATGCTCTTGAGGGATCTAAACGGGTTAGTTCATGAAAATGTTCTCTGAAGTTAGAGTGGATCTTAATGTTTGAGTAAGCTTGAGATTTTTGGATGTTGTTGTTGTCTCTTTGGTTGTGTTTTGGTTAAAGCTCTCTTGGACGTTTGAGAAGGAAGGGACTAAACTTGAGTGGAGGTGGAAGTGTAAGCCATCACATGATAGTAAGAAGATCACTGTTGGGATCTTGGATTTTCTTTTGGAGGCTAATATAAGGCTAAGTGTATGACTCTTACACTCTATGTTCTGAGTTTTGAGGATTTCTTGTGATGTTTGAGCCTTTGAGGATGAAAAAGGATAAGGTTTTTATCAGATTATGTTTTTGCTAGTGAATATGATGAATTAGACCTTAAGTTCTTTGATCTAAGCTTTGTTAGGATTGGCAATTTGATTCTTGTTTGGAAGATATGTCAATATCTCAATACTTAAGTGTTTACACAGGAAGAAGTTGTGAACAAGACGAGATCTTTTGAGAAGATGAAATGTGAAGCTGAGAGATGTCTCGCACAAGGTGAAAAACTCTGCGAAGAAAAAACAGAGTTTGAGAATGCAACTTATGCAAAGGCATGTATTATTTATATCTAACACCTTCTTTCTTGTTTAGATTAGAATCGTTGGCTTTTCTAATATCTTTAATTGCTTCATTATTAGGGATGAGTAGTCTTTGTGAAACAATATTGTCGTGTTTAGTATTCATGTTATTCCTTTATTTGTCAATGCAGTTCCTTTCTGTGTTAAATGCAAAGAAGGCAAAACTGAGAGCACTAAGGGACAAAGGAGATTCAGTGAGAGCAGTTGAGGAGGAAGAATCGACAGACAAAACTGAAAGCTTTGACAGTGGAAGAAGTGACAATGAGCAGAGCGAGGAAGAAGCCTCAAAGAAGGCATCAAGCAGCAAAGCCCGTGGCCGAAAGAGAGCTGTACGCAGCTAAAAGATTCCCCTGCCTTGAGATTTCAGGTCAGAGTTTCCATTCAATGTTTTGTGAATCTCATAGCTAGAAAAAGAGAAACATTTTTGTTGAAATCGCTAGAATCTGTATTGCTTGTGAAAGTAAATGCAATAGAATTGGAGATGAAATGATTTCTATAAAGCTTCAAGCCTCAACTTTCTCAATAGTAATTTAAAACTCCAATGTGAAATTTCAAGGCCCTTTTGATCACCAATACTTGATGGCCGACACCTTTTTTAGTCTTCTCTTGGGATATAGAACACATTTCCATGGGTTCTAACATGATTCAAGCTTCTTAACCAAAAGAGCTTGACCAACGTTCAAATCTATTCCTCTTTACCGGTCAACGGTGTCGACCAATATTTTCGGTGAGTTTTCCTTCCGATAACCTGAACAACGTTCAAATCTTTTACTTTTTTTTTTGGTTAAACAACAATGTTTATTAAAAACCACAAAATAGAAAATTAGAAATAACAAACACTTGACCAACTAGTTACGTGAGTACAAACTTGACGAAACCGTTGAGCTTAACGAGCTATAAACCACAAGTGTTTGTATGAAGTGAAGATGTGTCCGATCACTAATCCACAAAACACACCAGGTCCAAACGCTATTGCAGCTGCTATCCAGTTCAGCACTGGCTCTTCTGGTTCTGACGAAGACTCATCATGTTGCTGAGATGTAGGAACAGGAACATGATGGCTTTCTCCACAAATTTCGTCGAGGCCATAGAGTCCAGGATTACCCGCGAATGAAGAACAATTTTGACTTCCAAACTGTGTGCTCCGTGGCACAAATCCTTGTAGATGATTGTGGGAGAAGTTGATGTTGGACAGAAACGAGAGTTTCCCGAGACTTTGAGGAATTTCACCTGACAAGTTATTTCGCGATAGGTCTAATGTCTCGAGGGTTGTGATATTTGCCAAGGATGGAGGGATGTTGCCTGTGAATGCATTGCCGGACAAGTTGAGAAGACGCAATTCGCTCAAAAGACCAATGGATTCAGGGATATGTCCGGAGAATCGGTTTCCCGAAAAATCAATGACTTTGAAGCCTCGAAAGATCCGATTAAAATCTGTGTCTACTCCTTTGTACGCCAAATCAATCGAATCTGCATGCAAATTGAAATTATCCCCCACGTAGTTCGACCTTTGGATAGTTTGAAGTCCCCCATATTGTATCGTTCTTGAGGAAGTGTTTCTTGCGTAGTTCAGTCGATTGATATCCCACACCGTTGACATTTCAGTCCAATTGGCAAAATAGTCTTGTGGTAATGATCCAACGAAATCATTATTGGATATGTCAATGATACTCAGGCGTGGAAACCCCAAATAGGCAGAGGAGTTATAGACTGGACCATAGAATGCATTTGATCGTAGCACAAGAACCATTAGTGATTCCCGAGAGCCCAACCAAAATGGAAACGTGTCCTTGATCTTGTTTCCTCTCACATTCAGAAATTCCATATCCTGGCAATTCATCAAAGATTTTGGAAGCTTCCCCACCAAATTGTTGTAGCTGACATCAAGTGATCGTAACATAGTGCTATCCATGCACAACTCTGGCAGAAATCCACTTAGACTGTTGTTTCGCAGATTTAACGTATTAAAATCAGTGGAATTCTTCAAACATTGTGGAATTGAGCCAGTGAAACGGTTGTCGGACAAATCTAAGAAGAAAACAAATCTGAAGTTGCAGATCCATTGGGGAATTGGTCCTTGGAGTGAATTTGAACCAAGATTCAACCCACCTAACTTTGCCCCATTGACAACTTCCACAGATTTGCCTAAGTTGTTGAACGAATTATGAGAAAGATCCACAGATTGCAACTTAGAAGGTCTCCATATTAAATAAGGTACTTGACCTTCCAACTTGTTGTAGGAAATATCAAGGGAAGTGAGGTTGGCTAACTTAGATATAGATCTAGGGAATAGTTCTTCGAAATTGTTGTGGCTAAGATCTAAATCTTCAAGATTGACTAACTTAGATATAGATCTAGGGACTCGTCCTCCGAAATTGTTTTGGCTAAGACTTAAACGTTCGAGATTGACTAATTTCCATATAGATCTAGGGACTCGTCCTCCAAAATGGTTCCCATCAAGATTTAAAGCTTTTAGATTGACTAATTTTGACATAGATTCTGGATTTAGCCCATCAAACTTGTTGTAGCCAACATTTAAAACTTCAAGCCTAGATGATGAAGATGTATTCCCAAAATCAATAGGTCCCTCGAATTGGTTTCCCCCTAAACTAATATGGACTAAAGAAGAAATAATGAGCAAAGATGAGGGAAAAGGTCCGACAAAAGAGTTTTCACCCCCAAAGATTTGCTCCAGGTTGTGGAGTCCACTTAGGTCAGCGGAAAAGAAGGATTTGAAGTGATTGGAGGAGAGGTCTATAATGGCTAAGCTGGTTAAGTTGGCTAATACTATATCCCCACCCGTGAATTGATTTTTGTGGAGGTCCAATAGAGAAAGCTTGGTTAAGTTTGCAAATGAAGTAGGAATATTACCTATGAGTTGATTTCCCCTAAGATCTATGTATTCTAGTTGGTTTAGGTTACCGATTGAAGCGGGAACTTCACCTACTAAGTGATTACTAGAAAGATCAAGATGTGCGAGATGGGAAAGATTTTCAATTGAAGAAGGAATCTCCCCTTGGAGATTGCAATCTGAAAGGTCTAGGTGAGTAAGATGTTTCAGTTTAAAAAGACCACTACTAGATTTCAAAGAGGTGCTAGCAGTACTAAGGTAATAGAGTTTTAGTGATATCACCTCTCCCAAGATAGCATCACACGTGACTCCACCCCAAGAACAACAGTCAATGCTCTTGTTCCACGGATTTCCTAAAGTAACGGAAGGGATCGGGAACTCTTTTTGTATCTCCAAAAGAGCATCTCTTTGGTCGCTGCGGCACAAAGACTGTGTGGGAGAAGCAAAGGTGTTTGGTAACGGAAGAAGACAAAAGAAGAAGTAGATGGTAATAATAATACCAAGAAAGCATTGAGATTGGCTTCGAATCATGATAATTTTTGGAAACAAAGACGATTTGTTTGTTAAATTGGTATGTGATATACACTTCTATTTATATAAGAAAATTCTGTGTAAGGAGCTTGACTTGGCAAGTCTTCCATTGGAAAACGATAAAGATATTGTTTCTGTCGACAACTTTAAAAACGTACAAACGAAAAGACAAATTAAGCAGAAGACTAAAGGAGACTTAAACAAACATGTATGTCGAAGTAATGTCGTGAGCAGAGGGAGGAAGAAGCCTCGAAGAAGGCATTACTTAATTTAATGTCGTATGTAATGGAATTATATTTGTAAATAAAATCACTGAAATCTAAAAAAATTTGTTGTTGGCTCCAACTGGTAACCATTAAAAGAATAAAAATAAAATAAATAAAAAAATTAATGCGGAATGGAACAAACAATGCGGAACGAAAAGGAAAAGATGCAGACAAAGAATAAAATATACCATTACAATGAATGGTAACCAAACAATAAAAAAATCTTTAAAATTATATTAAATAAAATACTAATTTTTTTTAATAATTATTTAATTTGAAACTAAAATTTTGTGAACTAAATTCATATATATATATATATATCATGTTATATAATAATAGTTAATATTAACATAAAATAAAATTAAAAGAGTAATTTAAAATATATTATTCCTTTACAATATAAACATTTATAAATTTATTTTACTATTTATATAATTTTCAAATAAAGTCTTAAGAATAATTTAGCATGAAATTCTTATCAAAAATATTTTTCCTGTTAATATATTGTGAAGATATAAAAGTTATTATATACTAAAATACAAATATTATTGATAAACATTATTTTTTTATTTATTTTAAAATAAAAAACGAATTTAAATATTTGTTCTTTTTTTTGTTTCTAATCAATTTTGGAGAGGAACATTTTTGTTCTAGTGTTCCTTTTTTGGTGAGGAATGTAGAGGAATAATGTGGAAAAAACATTCATTGTAAATGATAAAAATATTGAGGAACAAAGAGGAATATCATATTCCTTCTCATTATTTTCCTAAATCATGGTTACCAATTGAAGCCGTTGTTTTTTTACTCAATACATGAGATTTACATATCATGAAATGAATACCACCATGTTGTGAGAACGTAATCAAAATTAATGATCGAGTAACACGAGGTTCTCTTAAATATACAATAAACTCATATTACTCAAAAAAAAAAAAAAAAGTATTGGGAAGGTTAAAATTATCCACTGTCCAGAAAAATACAAAGCAGAAAATGCACAAAACATTATGGTTAGATTTCTCCACTATCCAAGATTATGGTTTGCTAGAGAATATGATGAATTAGACCTTACGTTCTTTGATCTATGGTTCTTAGAAGTGGCAATATGATTCGTGTTTGGAAGATACAATATGTCAATCTCTCAATACTCAAGTGTTTTACACAGGAAGAAGTTGTGAACAAGACAAGATCTTTTGAGAAGATGAAAAGTGAAGCTGAGAGATGCCTAACGCAAGGTGAAAAACTCTGCGACGAAAAAACAGAGTTTGAGAATGCAACTTATGCAAAGGTCAGAGATTCCATTCTAAGTTTTGTCAAACGAATAGGTAGGAAATGATTACATATTTTGGGTGAAAAATTAATATAATTTTGTATAACTTCTGAAAGTAAATGTAATAACTTGGAGATTACATGATTGCTAATAAAGCTTCAAGCCCCCAAATGTTAATAACTAAGAAACATAAACAATCACACGAGCCATATTTTATTACCAAATGGTGAAAAGATTACAAATAGAAAAATTTAAAAAGCAAAAGAAAAAAGTTACAAATACAAACAGTGAGATATGGGATTAAGAAGCTATTATGGTGGTTTTGGGCTTGTTTCGACAAATTTTTGTAATAAGCCACTTGTGCTTGTATGAAGTGAAAATATGTCCGATCACTAATCCACAAAACACACCAGGTCCAAATGCTATTGCAGCTGCTATCCAATTCAGCACTGGCTCTTCCGGTTCCAACAAAGCTACCTTGGGCTGCAGCGATGTAGGTACGGGGACATGGATTTCTCCACAAATTTGCTCGAGCCCATAGAGTCTGGGATTACCCACGAATGAAGAACAATTTTGACTTCCAAACTGTGTGCTCTGTGGCATCAATCCCTCTAGATGGTTATGGGAGAAGTTGATGTTGGAGAGAAACGAGAGTTTCCCGAGACCTCGAGGAATTTCACCTGACAAGTTGTTTCGCGATAGGTCTAACGTCTCGAGCTTTGTAATATTTGCCAATGACGGTGGGATATTGCCAGTGAAGGTGTTGCCTGATAAGTTGAGAAGACGCAATTCGCTCAATAGACCAATGGATTCAGGAATGTATCCGGAGAATCGGTTTCCAGAAAAATCAATGGCTTTGAAGGCTTGAAAGATTAGTACGAAATCTGTGTCTACTCCTTTATATACCAAATCAATCGAATCTTGATGCTTGTTGGAACCATCCCCCATGTAGCTTGATCCTGGTATAGTTAGATTTCTTTTGTAATCGAGTGTGCGCATAGGCCGTCGCCATACCAATGACATTTCAGTCCAATTGACAAAATAGTCTTGTGGTAACGATCCAACGAAGTTGTTTATTGGATATGTCCATGATCCTCAGGCTTGGAAAGCCTAAATAGGCGGATGGCTTGTAGACTGGACCGTAGAATGTATTTGATCGGAGCACAAGAACCTTTAGGTATTGTAGAGATCCCAACCAAAACGGAAACGTGTCTTTGATCTTGTTTCCTCTCACATTTAGAAACTCCATCCACTCGCAGTTGATCAAAGATTTTGGAAGTTTCCCCACGAAATTGTTGAGGCTGACATCAAGTGATCGCAACTGTGAGCCATCGATGCATAAATCTGGCATAAATCCACTTAGACTGTTGTTTCGCAGATTTAACATGTTGAAATCAGTGGAATTCTTCAAACATTGTGGAATTGAGCCATTGAGATGGTTGTTGGAAAAATCTAAGAAGGAAAAATATCTGAAGTTGCAGATCCATTGGGGAATTGGTCCTTGGAGTGAATTTGAACTAAGATCCCAGTCTCCTTCTAATTGGTCCTTTGTGGGTTCTAGAATTATGCCGAAACTGCTGAAAGAATTATAAGAAAGGTCCACTGAATATAACTTAGAAGATCTCCATATACATTGAGGTACTTGCCCTTCCAACTTGTTGTAGGAAAGATCAAGGGAACTGAGGTTGACTAATTTTGATATAGAGCTAGGGACTCGTCCTCCGAAATTGTTATGGCTGAGATCTAAAGATAAGAGATTGCGTAATTTTGATATATAGCTAGGGACTTGCCCTCCTAAATTGTTGTGGCTAAGATCTAAGTGATCGAGATTGACTAATTTTGATATAGAACTAGGGACTCGTCCTCCGAAATTGTTGTGACTAAGATCTAAATTTTCGAGACTAACTAATGTAGATATAGATTCTGGGATTAGCCCATCAAGATTGTTGTAGCTAACATCTAACTCTGTCAACTTAGATGATGAAGAGGTATTCCCAAAATCAATAGGTCCCTCGAATTGGTTTTCACTTAAAATAATATCGACTAACGAAGGAATCGTGAGCAAGAATGAGGGAAAAGGTCCGAAAAATGAGCTGTTATACACCCAAAATCGCTCTAAGTTGTGGAGTCGACTAAGGTCAATAGAAATCGCGGATTTGAAGTAATTGAAGGAGAGGTCTATGATGGACAAGCTGGTTAAGTTGGCTAATACAATATCCCCACCCGTGAGTTGATTTCCATTGAGGTGCAATTCAGAAAGCTTGGTTAAGTTGGCAAATGAAGTAGGAATATTACCTCTGAGATTATTATCTGAAAGATGTATTTCTCTTAGTTGGTTTAGGTTACCTATCGAAGCCGGAATTTCACCTACTAACTGATTAAAAGAAAGATCAAGATATGTGAGATGAGAAAGATTTCCAATTGAAGAAGGAATCTCCCCTTGGAGATTGCAAAATGAAAGATCTAGCTCGCGAAGATGATGGAGTTTAAAAAGACCACTGCTAGATTTCAAAGAGGTGTTGGCAATAGAGGAAACAAGATTAAGTGATATCACCTCTCCTAATGTAGCATCACACGTGACACCTTCCCAAGAACAACAATCAACGCTCTTGTTCCACGAAACTGTTGTTACATGACGGCTGTTGTTGGAATGGACCGGGAACTCTTTTTTTAGCTCCAAAAGAGCATCTCTTTGGTCGCTGCGGCACAAAGACCGTGTTGGAGAAGCCATGGTGTTTGGTAAGGGAAGAAAAAAAAGATAGAAAGAGATTGTAACAATAATACCAAGAAAGCAAGAAGATTGGCTTCTAATCATCGCCTCTCAATTTTGTATTTTGGAAATAAAGATAACTTGTTTGTTGATTGGTAAGTGATGAAACTGTCTGCTTACACACTATTCTTTATATAAGAACATTCTCTGTAAGGAGCTTGACTTGGCAAGTCTTCCATTACATTATTTTAAAGTTAAATCAAAGAAAGAGAATAATGGATAATAGTTTTAGTGCACACCAACCAAAGCTTTAGAAATGTAAAAGCCAAAAAAACGCACAAAAAAATACCAAAAGGAGATACAAACAAACATGTATGTACAAGTAATGTCGTGAGGAATGGGTTTGGAATTACTCAGGTCATGTGGTTGACAACATCTTTCGGTGCTTTTATTTTTGGTCAACTTTTTTGCAAGTTTTTTTAAGCAATATTTTGTATAATTTATGGATCATTTTAACTTTTTTGTGTCCATTACTCTTAAATCATTTTCATGTAATGATTTTGACTCTTAAATTAGTCTCAAGTCTCGACAATCCAAAATTTCCCTACTCGTCCTTCTTTTTTTTAGTGCCCACTAAGTAGTATATGACGAAGCGTCTAAGTAACGGATATAGAATATCACTCTCTGATCATTCGTAAAGCCTACAGGTTAATATTAGTTTAACCATGTTTGATAGTGGAGAGATAAAGAACCTCGA